GCTCATCTCTTCTCTGACAATGATCACTGTCCAACAGCTCGCTACTATCGATATCTGTCCGACGTCCTCCAACAGGTGTCATCGCTCTTTGCTTTCCAACATTGAGACCATTGTCTCATCTTAGGACTCTGCTTTGCCTGTCGAAGCGGTGACCTTTTGTGTCTACCTTTCATCCCTCCTGAGCCCAGTGGCAGTGAACTGGTTAAGCTCCTCCTCATCCTCCTCCCATTCAGCTCCACCTCCAGGATCTGGCTCTGGACCAGTGGAGCATGAGAACCAGGACAGCCTGGACATAAAGGGACCATTGTGGCAGCCCAGTGACATGGAAGCAAGTATCTCTGATTAAACTAAGTCAGCTTCGGGCTTGCACACTGCAGCCGATGGACAGTAGTGCGGGGACGGAGTCAGTGAGCTGGAGTTGTTTCAGCTTAGCCAAACAAGGGCACTATGAGATGCACTCAAAAGCTGATTACAATAAACCAATGAGGAAGCATTAACCACTGCAGCTAATTATGCCTTCAACTGCCTTTTCATGCCTGGGCAGGGCTCTGCTGGTACGTCAGATCCAAATGTATAAAAGGTGTCATCACACTAAGTCCCATCTTTAATGAAGCACTGGCCTCAGGGACACATTTTAGAATGGTAGTTGTTTTGTTAACAGGTGTATGATTTATTGGAAAATAAGAGGGCAATTATCATCACAAAAAAGGAAGACATTAAATACCTAAGAGATTTACATGCAACATTTTTAAAACGTTCATAAAGCACTGGTGCTGACGTTTGAATACAAGTAGTTTTACCTGATTAAACCATCATCATGTATGAAAAGGGACTTCAATTAAGTGCATTCAACCATGAAGATACAGACTCCTGCAAGTACATTAGCTTTCAATAAGCCAAACAATTATAAGTGCTCCTGCATTGGCTTCAACTAAACCAAACCTCGTGCGACATACAGAAGTTTGTTTTGTGTTGGTCAAGGTGCTGTCAGACTAGTCGATTATAGTTTCTCCATCCTTAGGCTGGTAAAAGTATTTTGCAAAACACTATTCACATTTGCCATTCAGGCTGATCCTGACCTTTGACATCAGAGATAGAAAGTCTCATAGGACGGTTTCATGATAGGTTTGATTGATCCAATTTGGAAATCGCCACCCCCTCAGATTTCACATTGGTAATGTAATTCCTTTAGTACTAAGTACATGTCCGTCATCATCTGTTAAAGAGACATTAGTCTAAGGTGTTGCTTAAGAAAAGATCCAATCACAAGATCCAAAGCCCCTACTTTGGAGTTGGATATCGCATTTTGCCTAATTTTGTTTAGGATTTAGCGAAAATGTCGAGACTACCTGCCTCCCTACGTTACCATTCATGGTCATTAATTCCTGATGTGAAAGACTTTTAAAAAAAGTCAAAGTATAACGGCTAACGCATGTTAATGATGTTCAACTATTTTGGGCTGTCATTTCCGTCATAAGATATTTGCTGGGGGTTTCTACTTGGTTTGCAAACCACATACAAATAAGCCATGACAGAAAGGTAACTGTATAAAAAAACACTTACAAATAATACTGCAAACATCCAAAACTGAATTACCAGATAGAAATGGCAACAAAATTGCAAAAAATCTCAAATTGGAATCTCCAAGGGCTAACATTGTCTTTCCTTACAATGTATATGCTTGCACAAACAGCACCCTGATTCATTTCACTTTATTGGAAGACAGAAATAGCAGCAGCCTCCAGTTAAGAGTCCTTGAATATAAAGGGAGGCCAGGCAGTGCTGATAAGATTGTCTCATTTGGCTCGCAGGGCTAAGGCACTGTGCTGCCTGAGAAAAAAAAAAAGGCAGGATGTGGCTACTATTAGGCAGGTAATGGGATCCATCTGAGATGCATTAGAATCAGTCAAACAGAACCACACTTCAGTTCCGTTCAAACGACTGTCACAATCACTTCAAATGCACACCTTAGGCATGTACTGTAGGCGAGTGAAAAGGAGAGAAAATGGATGTTGGAGGAAGTTGTGCCGGGTCTCGGGCATGTGCTCTTTTCTAATGGTGGCGGCTTTGAGAGTGGCGCCGAGACTGATGTGCCGGAGAGCTGTCAGCCTCTCCCCATAACAAACGCCACCTCTCCCCCTGACAGAATGGAGACAGAAGGGAGGGACTGGAGTGGGGAGGGAGGTGTGGAGGTTACAGACAGAACCTGTGACCCAATTGTGGGCACACCAGCTGTTTCCCCTCCACTGCCTCCCAACCACCGACATCTCTGTGGACCACATCCTGCTAATTGGCCTATGCCGAAGCACACACACATAGAAACACAGCAAAATAATATCAGGGCTTGTTCCCGAAGAGGAAGAACATTTGCCGTTGCCTTAAGCCGCACTTGCGTGATGATTGATAAGTGCGAAACAGAAATATAAGATGACTAGCTGCCCTGCAACCATGGCGGCTAATGTCCCCCTTGACATGCACATATAGACAGACACACTGCAACCAAGATTCTATGGAGGGGAAACTGAATTAATTGGTTTTCCTTCTGCGGATAAGTCCTCAGAGTGGTGTGGTGTGTGTGTGTGTGTGGCGATAATGCTAGGTTGCAGTGACAGGCAGGTTATTTAATAAATCCCGGGATGTGTTAGGCAGAAAGGAAGGACACTAAACACAGAGAGACTGATTCTTCGTTTTGCTCTGTATCGTGTCTGCCACACAGCTCCCAATATCTCCTCTGATTTCCTTTTTGCAGGAGACACTCAAACCTGCTCACACACACGCGCACCCCTAATCATGCACCCACATAAATACACTTAATCGTTGACACACTCACGCATGGCGAGAGCAGTACTGCAGAGACATCCGAGCATGCACAAGTAGGCTATAAAAGCACACACAGAAACATGCACAAGATCTCGCTCAATCAGTCTGATTTGTTTGTTTCCTCCTAAGCATTTGAGGATTCCTCGAGGAGGAAAAAACTTTGTATAATCAAGTCAATTATGTCATTCAATCAAGTCGAAAATCATTTCGAGCCCTTTCTCAGATCCATTGATTGCAAAGTCGCGCTGGATATTTGCTTGCCGCGTTCTATTGTGCAAATAAGCCATCTTTATTTGGAACGGCAGACCAGGCCATGGCGCGGTCTTTAAAGCCACTTCTGCAGATAAAGAGCAAAACAAAGTCCTTCACCTTGCTCACTTTAAGTCGAGAAAATAACGCAGGGCTTTAAAAGGGGAGAGCTGGTAACATACTCTCTCTGATCAAAAAATATATCTATATATATATAGTTTCTATTAATCTACAACAGCTCGTTTGTCTCCTTCAGGACATGGTACATTATGTGCCTGTGAAAAAATCCATCCTCAGTGAAATTGTTTAAACTCAAGGTCAAGTGCTGATGTTACAGGGACTGTATGAGCTGAAGGTGACCTTGACTGATGTGGAATATGACATGAGGGAAATGGATCTCCGCTCAGTGTGGGGACATTATCTGTGAAATGCTGCCACTGTATCAAACCATGTTTGTGTGTGTGCGTGTGCATGAGCTCAAGAGTGTGTGTGTGTGCATGTGCATGTGCATGTGCATGTGCGTGTGTGTGTGTGTGTCCTTGTGTGCATATGTGCCTCCCTCCGCTCTGCTGGGGGTGGTGTTCATGAGAACAGCGTGTAGAAACTGCTGCAGCAGACAGGAACAAACAGCTGAATATGAGTCTCTGCTGAATTAACCGTCTAGGTTTCATTCAGACCACACCGGGATAATGTTGCCACAATATCAAAACTTCGTATCCCTTGTTTTTATATTTCATTTCAATGCCATACTACCATAGATGAGAAAATAAACGCTATTTTTTGGTTGTTTTTTAACAGAGGACGGTTTGGTTATGGCATTTGCTTGTCATTGCTTGTTTGCTCTGTGAGCAAAATGCATGTTGTTGACCAGGCATGGTGGGCAGTGTGAAGCTATTGCCATATCTTCTGTTGTTTGCTTGTCACAATATAGAGATTTATTTGTCTCATTGTCAGGAAAGGAGCCAAACTGCTGCTGCTGGCTTCTTATAAAGGAGACATATAATGCTCCTTTTCTGGTTCATACTCGTATTTTGGGTTCCTAGTTAAACATATTTACATGCTTTAATGTAAAAGAAAAACAGAATTTTTCTCACAGTGTCAGTCTGAGTATAACTGTATTCACCTACTGTCTGAATGCTCTGTTTTAGCTCCTGTCCCTTTAAAGGGTTAAAGGGTCTCCGTTAAGGGAGATCCCCCCCCTGCTGGAAATGCATCCATTGGACTCACTACTTTGTTTCATTCAGGAACACAGTGACATCACTATGTGAGAATGTGCTTCTATTGGCTAGTGCTCCAACACATTGTACGTGATAGGCTAAGTGGCTGGACGTCTCTAAGCGGTTGACCAATCACAACAGAGCCGGCCAGCTAACCAATCAGAGCAGACTGGGCTCTGCTTTCAGACAGAGGGTGAAAAGAGGTGCTGCAGCACAGGCAGTGTGAGAAAAATAGAGAGCTTTTTGAACATTAAATAATGTCACAGTAGAGGCAGATAATACAAATATTAAGCTAAAATTAGCATAATAAGGCCCATTTAAGAACCCCTCAGGAAAAAGCCCAGTTTGATGTGATTGGCTTGCAAGAAAAATAAAGTATATTGCACCTTTGCAATGGTAGTTCTCAAGCCTTTATTGGAAGTAATTAAGATACAGGGGGGGTATACCCAAATGTATACACACTAGCACTGGAAATAATATTATATATGTCCCTTTTAATGCTCAAATTCATGATTGCTGTAACGATCTGAGTGTTGGGTCTAAAATCACACCAGAGTGACAGTGGGCACAGACTGTGTAATTATCAGGTTAGCATATGTCACTCTTAATGATGATATAAATGTCATGTGTACATTGCAATTGTGTCAAAGAGAGCTGAAATGTTGGATAGTGTGACAACACTTTGCAGGAGAAATAATAATGAAACTGTCTTACCTTCCCGAACTGTTCAAAATACTGCTTCACATCTTCCACTACTGTATTGGCTGACAAGCCACCCACAAATATTTTCTTTGTTCTTGTGACCATCTGGAACAAAAAAGGGCGAGAGGAGAGGATTAGCAATGAGGCTTCAAATGCATTGCACAACACCTTTAATGAGGCTTCAAACGCACTGAGTGAGCAGCACCTGTGATATGAGGGAGTGAGGACACATTGTTGCTGAACAGGAATAAACAGATTCACACGAAACATTTTCAAAAACACTCTCGTATTATAGCAAGGTCACAAATACTGAAGGTATTGGCAGGAAAATTACTCTTGGCTACACATAGCAGTTCTGTGAATTTCCCATCACTGGGACATTTCCGACGGAAGCTCTAAGCAAAACAGACCGTCACAGAATGGAAGACATGCATATCATCCCAAAAGTTTTTTTTTTCATTTTAGCAACACTTAAAAAAAAAGAAATAATTGATGGACTTCCGAAAAAGCAAAACAATTAATGAGTGCTGGAAGATGGAATCAGAGTGCATTAAAGCCTCATTTAGTTTCAAACAGAAAGAATATTAAGGATTATTACCCACGGCATCAAAAAGGGCACGAACATCTGCTGCTGAGAGCACATGCTAAATTTAGTAGGACAATTTCTCAGGGAAATACAGTAACACTTCAACACCGCTGTCAGTGTAAAATCTGCGAGGCACTATTTCTATTTTGCACACGATTAAAAATGAAGCTGAATTAATGAAATGGTAGCAACAATCTTTTCTTAAAGTCAGACCTCTGAAACAGGATTTTCACAGGGTGAGGTTATGGCTCTAAATGGTACAGTAATAATCTTAACTGATGGTCTGGGGTCTCATAATCAACACTAAATGTTTGCACACATACAAATGAGGAAATACATGTATGCCAAAAAATATTCTGAATTGAAAAAGACGTGTGTATGCCTGCCAGTGTGCAGTTTTATTTATAAATCCCAAATCAACTTGGAATTGTCCACCCCTTCATGTAGTCCTAGCATTGATGGTGCATTCTGCATTACGCATTATGTTGAGCTCAGTATGTATATGTTTACAGCAATCAGGCTGATTACCTCACAACTTGCCCAAATGGTCACGACAATCTGTAGTATCATGAACCCTGGGATATCAGTAAATAAATAATAAGGACAGGAATGTAATGATTGTTTGTGCGATTCCAGGCTAATTTACACATTCCATATGGGCAACTTTACCACGGGGGAGGTTTGATGGACAAGAGCCAGAAGCACCGTTTACCATAGGCAATCCTTACTGTCTCCATTTAAATCTATGCTACAGTATTTACTGACACAACGTGGCATATAATGATTTCTGGCGCACTGCTCTGTAATCTTAGTGACAAACAAAAAAGGAGCATAAAAAGGCAGCAGAGAGTCACAGCTCTGATCTCACTCAGCTGGCAAGAATGAGAATCAAAGAAAAATAAATGGCCGGGGCAGGATAAACATACTCCAGAGATGCACAGCAAACTTTGAAAGAAGGTTGAAAGAGTCTACCTTGATCAAAATGCTGACCGAAACATTTTCAATCTATGAAAGAGGCTTAACGCTGAGAGAAAAGAAGCTACATTCAGCTGGAGCTGAAGTAACCATCTGTCAAGTGCTTTCCAGGTGCACACAGTCTCACAGGCACATCGCCTGCACATATGCACACAGCCTCCCACTCATGGGCCGGATTCTTGCTTCTGTGATCTTCTATGTTTTTCTCATTATATTATATTGTTTAACCAGAAAATGTCATTAAGACGACAAAGAAATGTACTAACACATTTTAGTGGTCTACATTTATTCAGTAGTTTAAATGTATAACTACAATTTAAACACGAATAACAGAGAGAAGCTCAGCATGTACTTCAGGGCTAAATTGCTGGAAATATGTGTAAGTGCAATACGAACACTAAATCACAAAAGGAAACAGCAAGAGTTTATTCTAGAAATCCGTACAAATATAAGCATGGATCTTTCATTACACTGAAAATGTGAAATGGGCCAAAGTTGAAATATGCAAATACAGTGTTTAAGGTCATTAGCAATGGCATTCTGACAATCAATAAACTGTAGGTGGAAATTACACTGAGCAATACACACTGGGAATATTGTATGACTCGCTAATAAGTGAGCATATTTCAAATGCTAACTGTTAGCCAAACTGGTAATGGTCATGGTATTGGTAACCATGGTAATGATCACCTCAAATCACAGCTGTTAAAGCCCTCTTGAGGTAGACAGAGTGCGGCTTTGATGGAGGAAAGCTGTGACAAGTGTGTCAGGCTTGGTCTGAGATGCCGTAAAATGGGAAGTGTCCAGAAAAACAAGATGTTTTTGTTACGATTACGAATGTCAGTTTTGGTTTAGTTTGCCCTTGATGTATCAACTCCCATTAAACTGTACATTTTTTTAAGAAATGAAGGCAAAATGACACAAAAACAAAAGCCCAATTCATTTGTATCTGTCATTCTATTGACTCAATTCGCTTTTGCAACACATTTTGAAGAGCACTGTGTTTATTTACAGGTGGTGAAATGTCATTGATTATGTGTTGCCTTCTATATGTTTTTTCTGTAAGCTATTCTGAACTCTATTGCCCCATATTGGTCAGGATGGTCCTCAGATTGATTGGACTGTTATCAGTTGATTTGCGTTTCAAATAACTTGATCGCTGGTCTTTTAAAGGACGACCAAGGATGCTTCAATTTTGAGTTGAAACATTTTAAATACCCATTTGCCCGCACTCTCGCCTGCTCCTTCATTCGTTCTAAGGGCTGCACAGATGGACACACAAGCTCCGCGGCAACGGGCCCTGTGCATGTGTGTACGTTTGTTTGTGTGGTTTCAACTGTTTTGCACAGATATCCCATCTTAAAATTAATATAACTCAAAAGATTTACTTATAGAGGATATGCATTTTTGTTTTGGTCAATTTTTGAGACCTCTAGTTAGGATGATTTTTCTTTTAAACCGACTCATCATAGGTTACTAAATTGCCTACATTTTTCATAAATATAACACTATTTCCTGCTGTGTGTAATGAGCATTACAGGCTCTCAGTGAAGCTTATGGGAGATGATGCAGTTTTTTGTACTACTTTGCAATGTTTGACAGATACTGGTGGACATGCATGATTTCAACTGACCAGTTTAGGGTTATAGACTGGCCAAGAGCCAGAAGCTGCATCATACTGCCCCCCGTCCTCCTCCTCCTCCCCTTCCCAACATCATGCCTCAGGCCACAGAGGTTATCAGCCTTGGATGCCGCCTCCGGCAACCCCAAGCCAGACAGCTGCTGATAAAATGGCTGTGCGACTATTTATCAACATCACTCACTTTTATCATTGCCAATCTAGGTAAGAAAAAAAAAAGTAAATGTTCATCTCTGCTTGCCTCTCTACATCAGCTGTTTGTCTTGCTTCCCTTCTGGGCCACCAAGTCCCCGGCCATTTTTCGGTGTTGTTCCATCAGCCTACAACCAGTCAAGTTTTCAGCCCCTGTCTTTATACTTTGACATGTCTGCCCAATGGCTGATGGGATTGCTTGAGCCATGGTACAACACAATTACCTTCTCTATTTTTCTCTCCATGGTGACTGACAAGCCACAAAGCCTTTTATTGTGTCCCTTAATGGTTATGGTTATACCATCTGGTGCGAAAGCTTACTAAAGTGTTCCTCAAACAAAAATAAAGTTTTAATGCATTTTAACCAACACAAAATATGAAAGCTATTCCCTGATTACTTAAATAGACTGCTGTTATTTTAATTTGGTCAACTACATAACCAAGTTGGTTGGAAGAGATGACCTTGGAATAGAATCTAATTTGACACAGATCATTTTACACTTTAACAAATGCATCTTCTTGCAATTACATCTAATAGAACATTTGCATTAATCACTTGCCTTCCAACATTTGTTCTGATTTTTGAGGCTCTGGTATTACTTTAAAAATCCTTTTTGACAAGATTTCAATTCAAGCGGACAGATTTAAAAATGGACCACTCTTCAACCCAGTTTTTCCTTTAACCCAATTTCAAACATTCAGTTATTTTTACACCCCCCTAAGAGACAGTAAGAAGAGTTATGATTGTGCATGATTGAGAGTGCGTGTGCTTACACATGAATGGGTTTCTAATATCTTGAGGACGTGATGCTGTGTGCGCAACAATTACTGCCCTAGTGCATTACCGAGGAGAAGCCGTGCAGCAGATACATAGAGGATCAGGAAGAAAATGTAAAAAGCATCTGCTGCACTCTTACAGACACCTGTTGCCGTTTCTAACAAGGACAGACCGAACAAAACGACAACACATACATCCCCTAGAAAAAAACATATTTTCTATGAAGAAAAAAGCTACAGATGTCATGCTGCTCGTCACTTAAAGGACACATATGATGCCCATTAACAGGTTCATTATTGTATTTATGGTTTCTACTAAGAGATGTTTTTTTATGCTTTAATGCTTTAAATAACACTCTACTTTTCTCATACTGTCCGTCTGTATATGCTTGTATTCACCCAATGTCTGAAAGACTCTATTTTAGCACCTGTCTCTTTAAGGAACCTCACAAAAACAAAACTCTGCTCGGATTGGTCAGTGTTTAAGGGATTTTTCAATACCCAAATACAGCGTAAAGTTGGCTATGGCAGACGTGTCACCTGCCATTCTGGAAAATAGATTTTCTCCTTATAATCATGAAAAGTTAGGTTTAAAAAAATCATAAATTAAAAAACATTAAGGGCTTAAGGTTACAACATATATTCCATGTTTTAATGTTCCCGTTTGGTTCCACTGTGTACAATTATTTAAGCGTTCTAGACAGATCTCAAAAGTGACAGACAAAAAAATGTAATGGCTTGTCGAAATGTTCAATGATTCATTTCAGCAGGGGAATGACTCTAATGGCGGCACATTATCCCTTTTTACCTCTATAGATGTGGCATCACACCTTCATTTAAGAAACATTTGTGTTGTCTTCATTTCTCCATTAAGTCCACATGATGAAAATACATTCAGCTCATATAAATAATGTCACAGAGTTCATAAAATGACTG